CAGTTTGTGTTTTTAATTAATTTTATTTGAAAATAGATTTTAAAATGATTTCACGTTCGGGCTTTAACGGGTCCAACCCGATCCGAACCCGAACTTCCAAAAACACGACTCAGACCGAATATAATGGGCTTTGTTCCGGTCCTTAATTTTCATAACCTGAAACCTTATGGGGAATTTCCGGGTTTAGCAAAAACCTGAACCAGACCGGATCGATCTCACCCCTACCAAATTTAATAATGCTCGTGTACTTCAAAATTGTTCTTACTTTATTCATTTGATCAATTCAATATCAATCGTATAGTCTCACCTTTCTTGGTAATCAATCACATCAACTCCTCTTGTACTAATACTATTAGGGGCGAATTTCTCCTAAGCAAATTTGCAAACCAGTACGACAACCTCACTTTTCTATACTGAGTAATCACCAATGAATTACTTATACTTCATCCGTCCCATTCAAAGGTTCTCTTTTTCTTTTTGAACGTTCTATATAAAAGTTCTTATTTCTATTTTAGAAAACAATAAATACTCTTAAATGTAAATTTAATCATCAAATATTAAAATAATACATTTTTTAACAACACATTTATATTAATGATCTCATTATGTTATACGTGGTGTACTCATCAAAACCATTTCTCAAAATATATTCGACGGACCTTATTTAATTATTTTGTAAATAATTGTGCCATTTTGTAGTGGGAACTTTTAAGCGGGACGGAGTAATTGAAGTATAATTAAAAATAAAAATAACTTTCAATAATATCGTCATATCGATATTACCCAAAAATTATAATATAAATATATTTAATTTATAGTCCAACTATTTAAATATATGACAAAAAAAGAGTTTTTCCTAAAATATTATTAAAATATAATTTATTTATACGAATAAGACTAATAGCTACTATAGCATAGTGTCATGGTCACTTGAGTTTAAAATTTGAACATGTCTTACTATTATTAAGTTACTACTATAGTCACTAGTCACATTTTTATAAATAATTTTTATTTTAATAAAAAATACGGAGTATGTAATTATTTCCAAAAATATGAAAATTTGGTCATTTAATTGAGCATGAGCTTATATAAAAGAGGGTTTGACGGAAGGCGCAACTTGTCTGCGATAGATTTTTTGGTGTCACGATCTCTTTCATCGGCGTGGCAAGGTTTTGATCAATTGTTTTCTTCTTGTGGTTACAACGAAGGGGAAGAATAATGTAGGGGGAGGATGCAGGGTTGATGTGGAGCTCGGCTCGTGAACCGGTTCCCTCTGCGAGAGGGCATGCGGTTGCAAACGGGAACATAGACTCTGGTGGCGTCACTATGGTTGAGGGGCCTAGTGCACCAGGAAACGATTGTGGGGGCACAAGGGTGGGGTAGGGTTGTGGACAGGGCCAGAATTGATGACCCAACCTCCTCTTGAACCACCTCCATAGAGTGAAAGTGTGTCTAGGGCGGTTTGAAAAAAGAAGATTCCAGTTTGCTTTATTTTTATTTCAAGTTTTTATCTTTTTTCGTTAGACAATTTATCTGGATCTTGGATTGTTTGTGTTTGTGGTAGTTTTGAGATGTCTAATTTAGTTTAGTTACGATCAAAGCTAATTGCCTCAGAACTCCCATATGTTCAGAGAAAAGTCCCGCTTAGTTTTGAGTAAACTTTATTATATCTGATCAAGGATGAAGAGGATCCTTTGATTCTTATAAAACTTTATTATTTTATAAGAACTCTGTATTTTATGTTTTATTCGCGTTGCTTCTTCAAAGGTGACCATCTCAGAGTCTGATCGTAGGGCGCATCTTGAGTCCAGATGCAGTTTGTTGAAAGATAGGTTGTGGTTTTGGAGCTATGGTTGATTGCAACTCTTGACCCTCACGCACAAGAAACAACTACTAGTTTAAGAAATCAATTTTATAATTAAATAATGTAATCCATTTTTTCTTATTTTTTCGTCGATGTAGCAAAAACATTTTATATATGATCACTTCACCCGCGTTGGTCCATTGATCCCGAGCTTACGCCCCGCCATTTTGTTTTGTAAGGTAAAACCGCATTATTTTCGTCCATTTCTGTATCAATTTTTTGTATTATGTTTATTTAAAGCAATCAGATTTATTTATTTTTTGAAAAGTGGACTTCAAAATTTATACCGAGTTATTTTCGGTTATTCAGTTACCATCGAAACTAACCAAGCTACGATTACAAAATTTGACTTGCTAATCTATTTCGGTCAGGTTTTATACTAACCCCTAATTTGGCCGCCCAACAAGGGTGGAGGTCCCAACTCCCAATTAGGAGTTGGGAGATACATTAGGGACATTTGAGACATTTTACACATCTCTTAGTCCCATATTTGTCCAAAATAGGATCTCGTCCCATTTTTGTACGTGGAAGCTTCGAAACTATCATTTCTTACATTAAACTACTGTGTGTGTATATGCATACATGATACATCCATGCGTGCGTTAATGGGATACAATAAACGCACCGAAAGGTTAATTCGTTGAAAAGGTTGTTTATAAAAATCATCAACTATTACATAGTAGTAGTGTCTTTCTCGTTGTCAAAGTATAATACCTCGTATTATGTAATTATTCTAATGATTAGTGTTTTTTTGAAAATCAAATAACTAATTTATTATTAAGCGACAACAAAAAAACAAAAGAATGAATAGCCTGAGGCTACAATGGGATGAGACATAGAACGGAACAGATTCAATGAATCCTTCCAGATCGCTAACTCCACAATAATGTAGTCTAGTCTAATGCTGATCTTCTTGCTACTCCAAAGAGAAATTAAAAAATTACAACTAAAAGATCCGACTTCACCAGCCACCGGAAAGGGAGAAATGGTTTGACCAACAACTAACAAAGGGAAATCAGTCGAGTAGAAATTTCTTGAAGCATCGGTTTGACCAAACACCGAAAAGGAGATCTGCTTGATCATCTTCTTCTTCCCACAGTGAGGCGGTGGTTCAGGTGGTGGACGAGTATTTGAAACATCAGAACAACAAGGTTGAAAAAGCTTCATCAGATCGATTACACCGATTAGAAACGCACGGCCTCTAGACATTGCTAAGAGAATAACATACCATACGCTCACATGAAGCGGACAAAATTCTCGGCCAATGAAGAAGCCGGACCAAAATCCTTGAAAATATGAATTGAAAAAGAGCGAAAGCATATATAAAAACCTTTGATTCGATCTTTCATTGCATATAGAATGTCTTCATCTTTCAAAATCGGATCTTGAAGAGGGTTGAGGATGGCCGCCTAGGGTTTCCCCTAGGTCCGGCTCTCTATCACGCTTGACTATGCTTCTTCTAATGATTACTGTTATGATTTATTAATTAAAGAACTTTACAATTACCCTTTCATCCCCGAGTGCATGATACATATGGCATGACATAAGTTTTAAGAAAATTTAAGTTTATTCGATCTTTTATACTAACACTCAAAACTCAAAAGTAAGAAAAGTAATGTGTGTCCATATGAGGTAATTGTGAGATGATATATACATAAATATAAAACTAGATGATACAAATATAGTAAAAGTAAGCGGTTCAAGAAAACATTCACTTTTTCGAACTAAGGTAGATTCTATGGTACCCAAAAGGTACCGTACCTTTGTCCACATGGACCAATCAGAATGTTGCAGTTGAATTATTTAAGTCTAAATTGAAATTGATATACCTATGTGGACCAATCAAGTGAATGGTAGGTACGGTACCCCATTTTTTAAATGGGTACCGGACTTCTCACCTTCGAACAATTCAAAAAGAAGAGTGCAACTTGTAAAACTAGACAAATGAAGTACTCCGTACTATTCATGGGATCAACATAATTTTCGTTTCTTCTTTAACTTTATGTATCAAACTATGTCATACCAATACACAAATTTGAATCTTACAGTTCAGTTAATTGTTATTTTTGTTATGATTTCCGATTGTGTAAATTACAATTATTTATACTAATATACTTCGAATGTATCAACGGAACTTCTTCATCAAAGATTCAAAACTAAATAGCATTGTCATTGATTACTAAAAATGAAGTTTACTCGGGTTCTAATTTTGATTTAGTAGTCGGAATCAGCACAAGAGCCCATTTCATAATGTTGAACTTGACTCAATCAGTTGAAATTGATCAAATTCTGATTGAAATAGTTGAATTGGCAAAATATGTTCAATATCAAAAATATATTTAAGATATTTGTTTAATAAAATGAAGACAAAATTTATACGGAGTATGAGAAATAGTTGAAATGACCCTCCACGGTAACATGAGTCAATTGAGTCAGAAACGTAAATTCAATCGTACTTATTTTGATTATTATACAACACAACGCGAAATGTTTAGTAAAAAGGTTGTATGATAATCTAATAAATTAAAAATGAGGTTACCAAAAGGGCTTTAAATCTTGGTGAAACCCAGCGTTGGAAAGAGGTTTACTGAGAAATTATTTGTATTAATGAGTGGTGGTTGAAAATATTGTAAGCCTAAAGCTAATGTGCATACCACGTAGTTTACCCAAATTCAGTTTGAGAAGTATGAATTGTTTCTCAAAGAATTGGGATGTTTAAACTTGGAGTAGTTTGAATTTTAAATCATACTAAACTTAAATTGTTGAACATATACGAAGCATAAGATAATATCAGACTTAACAATTTACATATGAGTTTAGACAAAATAGACGAGCCCTAGATATAAATAAACACACATGATACCAAACCTTATTAGATTAGAAAATTTGGATTCAAGTGATAAAATCTAGTTTATTAACTTGGGAACAATTTGGTTATTATTAAAGAAAAAGATTAATCATTTGAAGAATATGACTAAGGTCATTAAAGGACTAGTTACCCAATATCTTTTTGTACACCGTACCTAATAATCCTCTTCACACATAAGCTTCCTCTCACTTTCTTGTCATTTATTTATTGCATATCATTACTTCCCCACCAAACAAAAATATTTTCCTTTATAAAATTTGGTTAACTTTCTCGCCGGCCAGCTGGAACTTATAAATATCCAATATACACACTTTCCCCCCATTCACAACCAATTCCCCATTCATGTCTACAAGTGTTCTCTCCTCTCAACCCACACTCCCACAAAAACAAGACCCTTTCACATTAATGGAAGAAGAAGTTCAAAACACAATGGAAAGCTTCAGCTTCGATCATCCCCGCCGGAGAGACGATCAAGATCTTTCCGAGGAACTCTCAAAGCTGAGCTTTTTATTAGATGATGAAGAAGATGAAGAGGAATGTTATGATGATGACGAAACCGACGAGGAGGACGAGGACGAGGAAGAAGAATTCTCTTTCGTCTGCAATGACGGGGCGCTGTTATCGCCGATCGCGGCGGAGGACGTGTTCCGTGACGGGGAAATCCGGCCGGTGTTCCCTCTGTTCAACCGGGATCTTTTCTTGGCCGCCGTCGACGGTGGTTTGGAGGACTTGAGCCTAAAACGCCTAAAACAGAGGTTGCCGGCGACGCCGCAGGTTTACGTGGAGGCGAATTGCGACCCTTCTCTGAAGGCGTCATCTTCTTCTGCGGGGAATGAAGAAATCGCCGGGCCGTGCTGCCAGTGGTCATCGCCGGAGAAGAAGATAGCTGCCGAGGAGACGCCGGCGGCGGATGTTTGTAAGAAGAGCAACTCGACCGGGTTTTCGAAGTTCTTGAGGTTTAAGGAATTCATTCACCGGAGTAACAGCGAGGGCAGGGACGCATTTGTGTTCTTTAAACCTCCGGCGCCGGCGAAGGGATCGGAGAAGAAACCGGCGATGGAGAACAGGGGCACCGACGGGGAAGTCAAAGTCAAAGTCCCGGCGGAAGTCAAAGTCAAAGTTGCGCAAAAGAAGAAAAAGAAGAGTGAAAGCGCGTTGGCCCACGAGCGTTTCTTGAGAAGTAAGGCGAATGACGGTCGTGGACGGCGGCGGTCGTACCTGCCTTACCGGCCGGAGCTCGTCGGACTTTTCACTAATGTCAACGGCGGGCTAACGAGGAACGTACATCCTTTTTAAGCAGGATGATTATTCAATTGATTATTTATGGTTTACGGTAAACATTAACTCTATATCTTTAATAAGCAAGTGACAATTTGTATTTGTAATTAATGTGTATGTACATTTTTTGAGGGGTTATGACTTATATGACCAAGTGTATGTAATTATGCACGAATACATTTATTTGAGTTTGGGTGCCAATATGAGATAATGTTCTTTTTCTTGAAGCATTTATTGGGTGGCCTAGAAAATTAGTTGAACAGTACAACAATACTATAGGATCTGGAGTGACTATGAGCCCGTTTGGTAGCACCAAGATCGGCTGTTTTGGCTGATTCTGCTGAAATTTATGATATTCTGGCTGGAGTGGCTGTTTTGGCTGATTCTGCTGATTTAAGAAAAAAATATTTTAAAAATATATTTTATTAATAAATTAAAGAAAAAATTATATGTAAAAATAGCTAAAATGGTCATCTACAGTAACTTCAGCCAATACAGCCAGAAAAGTAACTCCAACCTTACTTTTTCGGCTTATTACACAATTCAGCGCGCGAAAGTAAAAGTTACGTGTTTGGTGAAAAAGCTGGCTGATAAGCCTGATAAGCCGAAAACAGAGTTCTCCAAACGGGCTCTATGTTTGTAGGATCTCAATCCTTTTGCTCGGCTTTGGTGGACAGGTAGGGTGCATGGTGATTTAGGCCATCGGATCCTATTTTTGCTGATCCCAAAACAATGCTTTCCCCCTTTTGTTGTCCGATTTGGCGATTTGCGCTAAGGACTCTGCCCTTTCGTTGTCGGATTTGCGCTAAGGACTCTCGTGGACGAGGATCTGTTTCTATGTTTGTACTCATGAATTAAACACATCAAATAAGACCTTATTACAATCAGGGATGGATTTAGGGGGGGGGCGCGGGGGGGGCGACCGCCCCCCTTGGACTTTGAAAAATTTCTACCATATATATAATATTTTTATAAAACTTTCATAATTTAATTAGATTCGCCCCCCTTAGCTTTTAATTTTCAAAATTAATATATAGTCTTACATAATGTAATACTTAATTGAATATTTAAAAGAAATAACATCTAATATAATTTACATAACTCGTTGTTTAAGATTTAGGATACTTATTATATAAGAATTCCTAGTTTTGTAATGTGTAATTATCTTTATTAGATAACAAGTACTCAATTTTGTAAAATATATACTACTCCGTCCCACTATGTTTGAGACAAAGAAGTGTGACACAAATTTTAAGAAAAAGTGGAATTGTGTGGTTGGTGTTGAGTTGATAAAGTGTGAATAAAGTAAGAATGAATTGTAACCACCCAAATATTGCCAAATATGGTATGGGACAAACTTAATGGGACGGACGAAAAAGGTAAAATGGGACAAAGTTAGGGGGACGGAGGGAGTATCAAACAATATTAAATATCAGACACACTAATTACACAGTTTTTAGATCACGTGAAATGAATCCAAAATATAAATATTTATTGACATTAAATTACATAATTCATTTACTTATTGCTTTCTAAAAATAATTTATTGCATAGTTAATAAAATTTAAATTATTATAGCATTAATACAAATATTAAAATATATTATGCACCATATAGTGTATTAGTGTGTGTATGTGGTGCATATTATTCTAAAAATAATAATCTCATACATATTACTATTGTAATATTAAGAAAACTTCTCATGAGTCATGACTCATGACTCACGAACACCCTCCTTGATGGACAAAAATTACAATTCAATAACTGATTCATAAGATTAAACAATATAGAAGTTATTAAAAATGTATTGGTTGATGTCTTTGTCATCGTCTAAATTTAGAATGTAATAGATTTATATGTCGTTGGGGGATATATATGTATTAATGTCATTTTTTAAATAAAAATAGCCGCATAACCCTACAGTAGTGAAAAAAATTTGCCCCGCTACACTAGGGGAAAAAATTTTGTCCCACTACACTAACGAAAAAAATTTTCACCCCCTACACTAACGAAAAATTTCGCCCCCCTTAACCCAAAATCCTGGATCCGTCCCTGATTACAATTAGTAAATAGTAAAATACACGTGATATAGATCTTTATAGACGATGCTAGACCAATTCAGACCGGTTTATATTTAAATAGATCAAATCTTATCAGATCAGATTAGAAAATTCATTCTAATTCAAAGTATTTTAACTTAATTTTTTTGAGAATGTTGGCGGAAATAAAGCTTGTGCAGTTGTGCTTATAAATTAAATACATATTGATAGGCGATATCTATTTTGAGAAAAATAATTAATAACATTTGAGATATTTTGGTATGTTTACGGAAGGTTTATTGTTCTAAGAACTCTCAAGAGAAGCAGCTTAGCAGCCATATGAACTATGATGAATTGCTATAGCAATATTTCCTCCAATGTTTTTTCACATCTGGTCATCATATCATACTGCATATGGAACAACGGATCATATTCGATCATATTATGGTCAACAACTTTCATATCGGTGTGATTTGAGTGAATGCTACTATACAATTCAATAAAATTTTAATAAATTTATTAAAAAATAACAATTTCAAATTGGACAAGATTGAACACCAACAAATCGTTAAATGGTACGATCTTTATTCGGTGATCACTCTTACAACCGTTCCAAAGCGAACATATTAGAAAACCGATAAAAATTAAATTGGTCATATTCATTAACACTATGGAGGCGAATGCGTGAAAGCATTTTTGCATGTTAGTCTTGCTAATACATGTAATACATTGGGTAAAGGTTTATTTTGTGTGTAAAAGGTGTTTTTAAGATTTGTTTACAAAATTTAAGAAGCGGGCCTGTGAATTTTTGTATTTGAATCGGTCAATTGTGGTATATTTTAATTAGTGCACATGTAAGAAGTACAATAACTTAAATGTAATTAAATAGTTGACTTCTTTTCTAGCCAACCTACTTACCTACCCATCCTCTTTCCTCACAAGGAACCAATAACAACTTACCATTGTTAATTAATAGTTGAAACTTGAAAGTTGGATTGAAACACATAAAAATACTAGTTTATTATTACCATTGTTAATAGTTAATACTCCGTAGTTGAAAGTTCGATTCAAGCACCAAAAAGTATTAGTTTATTAGTTAAAAGTAGTCTTACATGACTAAGCTTCAACTTCAGCATATCTACATTCATACTACGTACAGAATATCACATAACATGAATTAGTAAACATTTCCCTTCTAGAACACATGTTCAAGAGTTTTATTGCGAGTTGGTCGGATGGGGCCTTTCAATTGATGTTGTAGTCCAATATGTGACAAATAATAAACAATCAGGCATTCCAGCTCGCTGGATGGGAGGTTACCGTGTCTAGCTAATGTCTCGGGTTTGAAACCTCCTAGACACAAATATGGGAGATGGGGCTGACTGTGATCAGATTCAGATTTAACTAGGCAAACTAGATGGAACCATTAGAAAAATATCAAATTCTAATAACGGTTCGTTTCATATACATTATTTATAGAATCGATATGAAATTGAATCATTCTTAACAGTTCGATTCTTGTCATCTAAGTGTTCATAGTTTCTTAAAAAATCTTATAATCACGTTAATTAAGTTTGTACCACAAAACGTTCAACGTTTGAAATTACAAGAAATACAAATATGTTTATCATCATTTCAAATCTCAAAAGTTAAGTTTAAAACATAAATACATACCAAACTAAAAAAATTAGTAAGCAAAACAAAACAACATATACACTACAATAAATATTCATAAATTTGAATCAACAATGTAATTAGCCAGTAAAAATTTCATTCATCTCAAAGGATCACGAGCAGGGCATTCAATTCCGACCATCCGCGCCTTTAATAAGAGGCCTAAGAGCCTTAGAGAAACCTGTCAAGATAAATAATAATTTTAAATACTTAAATAACGTAACTAAACTGCAGTAGTTAGTGTAGTATAAAAACTAATTAGTAAATATACATTAATATATATATATATTAATAAATTTTTTCAAGAACCGAGAATCGAACCGTTAATATAAATTGGAGCCGAACCATTAGCAAATAACTAAAAAATGTAAATGTTGGAACTAAACTGAACCGGATCATAACGGTTCGGTCCGGTTTGATTCTCCGGTTCTTGATTCTTCGTATTTCAGGTTTCTCTCTCCTCCTCCCTCACCACCTCCGCCCTTCCTCCTCCGCCTTTTATATGAGTTTTGATACCCACTCGGAATTCCATGGTTGCTCTGATACGGGGCGGAGTGCTACAGTTGGTCTCTCATTTTATTTTATTTTAATCCTCCGAAGTTCATGGAGCCTTCTTCTAGCTTCTAGGAAAAAACATGTACCTCCTTCATCTTTGTCCACATCCCATAATAATCGTCTAGTTTTTTTAATGTAAAAGAAGATAATTAATTTCAATGTTTGTAGGACAATATTTTCTTTGTGTATTAAGTTTCACATTTTATTTGGAGAAGTAACAATTACAATTATATAGAACATTCAAGTCAATAACATATAAAAAGTCAATGGCTTCCAAATAAGACCGAGGGCGGATGTATATCATTGTGAATGGGGGCACATGCCTCCGATAACATTCATATTTTTAGTTTAAATTTGTTACTTTTAATTAATTTATGACTAGTGCCCCCAATGAAAAATATTAATGCCCCTTAAATATTCCACAATTCTTTTGAAATGCAAAATTGGTGAAAAGGCAAGTACATGATCTGTCCATGATTTTTGAGATTTTATTTCTTTATTTATTTAGAGATATTAGTAAACCTAGTTTATGTAGAATAAGTTTTAGAAAAGTTGTTTTGTTAGATTTCAAGTAAATGGGCTAGAAAAGTTTTAGTTCGAATATTTACTTCATTTTTAGTTAATAATTAATATTCATATTTTAATTAGAATTTATTTGTAATTTTTTCACTTCAGCCACTTTTTTTAAATCGCATTGGTTGAAAGATGTTTTTGAAATGAATGTTGTTGTCAAGTCAAGTTTGAGCAATCATATTGGTGACAGGTTTTCACATGATTATCTTACCTGTAATTTTGTAATGTGAAAAGGATTTACTTGATATAATTAGAAATGCGATTGCGATGACTTGATAGATCATTTTCAAAAGATGAAATTTCATATAGAGCAACTCTGATAAATTATACTGGAATATTTCATATTTGAATAATGTTGTAAGTTGCATCCTTTAAAATAAATGTATATT